TGCAGATTCGGGGTCCTCTCGCCGAGCACAGGAGGACCCCGCCTTCAAAATAAAAAATAAAAAAATATCTGGGCTGTTTTTTTTGCCCGCCCGGTTTGCCCGGGCGACCCACCTGGCCCCGCCCGGCTGGGCCTAGCCCGGCCGGGGGGCGTCCGTACTCAGACACAACATACCTTTTTCCCGGATTTTTTGAAACTTCTTTTTATTGTTATTTTTTAAATACCATGTGCTGGAGCTTCCTGGGACCATGCCAAGGACCCTGCTCAGGTGCGTACCCAGGTGACACCCCCCCCCACCCCCCCCTGCCCCCAAGGAACTGTGCCAGCTACTTTGTTCCGATGGAGCCGTCAACATGCAACATCCTTAGGGGCCCAACCAATCGAACCGAGATGGCTGGTGGTGGCAACAAAAGAGGGGGGCGGGGGGGGGGGACGCACCTGCACCAGTTCGTTTTTCATTGGCATGCCGTGCAGATTTTCCTCATGAAAAAGAAGCTCGGAGGAACTGCTGGTTTCAGTATATTATGATTATAACAATGTTCAGTAAAAGATTAACAAGTGTTCATTTAACTTCACTACGAATTAGTAATTACCTATGGCAGCTAATCGCTGTTTCTTCTTCTCCATTTTCTCCTCCTTGGACAATTCCTTCTTGAAGCCAAGCTCCTTCTCCAGCCTCTCTGCCTCTTCCTTATCTGCCTTCTGTGCCGCCAATCGCTCTTCAAAGCTGGAAACAACAAGCCATGACAAAGGCGAGACTCAGAAAGTCGCCATTGCCGAGCATCACTCTTTCCACAGTCTATGACTCTAGGCACATCTTTGTGAAGAATCTATGGATGCTAAACAAACAACCTTGGGAATCAAAAAACTCTTTAGCAGCATACAAATATTATGACATACACATGTCACACAGTCCATAACCAAACGCCTGCTCAGATGGCTGAACTAAGGGAGTGCCATCACTGACATCCATGGCTATGCTATGCTATGCTAAATCAGCACCAGCCTACGTTAGTGTGCTTTCGGATGCCCATGGCCCCATGTGCATAGCTCACTTTTCTGGGCACCATTCAGTGTGCTTTTGGATGCCCATGTGCATAGCTTGCTTTTTCGGGCACTGTCCAGTGTGCTTTCGGATGCCAATGTCCAGAACTCACTTTTTCCGGCACAGTCCACTTCTCCCCGACAAGACGTACATAAAAGACAAAAAAAAAAAAAAGAAAAAAAAAAAGAAAACAGCCCCGTTCCTTTTCCCCTGAACAAGTCATACGTACATCAATCAAAACACACACACACACACACACACACACACACACACACACACACACACACACGTGTTGCCTTCTGTCCTTTAATCTGAAAAAACTATATATATTTGTGCAAGTGTGCCGCTTTGGAAGCAGACAGGTGTGTGGGCACTTCCTGCTCGACCACACAAATGTGGGGAACCTTTCACCTTCTATTATATTGCTCATCTATACTTTTTTGGTTTATGGATGGTTTGTGATGGTACGTGGATGGAATGAGAGAGAGTTCGGGGATGTTGAAAAACACACACACACAGACATGCGGGCACGGACAGCAGCGACAAGGCCGACAAAAAAGGAGGTCGCATTCGGCAAAAATATAGGAGTTATCAGGCAGAGAGCATCATTATCAACCCGCTATGCTGTTCCAGAAAGCTGGTTAATCAATCCACTAACCTATTGCAAAAAGCAGCTCGATCGATCCGCTAACCTGTTCAAGAAGAACTCTGCTGTTCGTCGAACTGACACCATGTCACCGGTTGGAACTAGGACACCCATTTGAACCATTGCTGCCAACACCTGCACATATACACACACATCAACACACACACACACACACACACACACACACACACACACACACACACACACACACACACACACAGTTATGGAGATTGTTCTGAAATCTGATACACTTCAAAATAAGAAAAAGGAGAAAGAGGCACACTGTATCCAAATGCTCCAATCAGGAAAAGATCCTTGTCAGGCAGCTGTCCACCCAGGAGCACAAAAGAACCCCCTCGCAAAATGACAGATAGATTACATCATAAGCATGGAGAATACAAGGACAGAATATGCCAGGAGCACATCAACCACCCAGCAGCAGTCCACAACATAACACCTCTTCTCCTCAGCAACCTTGTCAACAGTTCTGCTAACAGAAAAATGGCATTACCAATAGGAATCAATATCACCCCTCCTCACAACCTTGTCGATACTTTTGCTAACAGACAAACGGCATTACCAATACCAATGCAATATCACTGCAACAGCAAATAGCCCAAATTTGATGCAGCATACTCCATGGAAAGCAAGATCCGAAGAGGTAGAGGTAAATCCAAGTTGTCCACCCTCAACAAACTCTCTCTCTCTCTCTCTCTCTCTCTCTCTCTCTCTCTCTCTCTCTCTCTCTCTCTCTCTCTCTGTGTGTGTGTGTGTGTGTGTGTGTGTGTGTGTGTGTGTGTGTGCTTGCCTGCCTGATTGCTGGCCTGTCTGTCTGTCTCAAGCATCCGTAAACCCGCTCCTCCCTCCAAAAGGGCTGCCTGTCTAGGTTCTGAGTAGTGAGTAATCTTCTCTCCTACCTTCTATGGATGATACTGTTCAGAAATTACCAGTAACTACTAGACCTGTTGTGGCTTCACTTGCAAAAGTGGTGGGTGTGCTTGGCAGCTGAGTTGAATATGCTGGGGTGGTGTTTGTGGGGTGGTTTGGCTTCTTCTCACCTGTTTACTCTTGTTGGTCTGTTGATGGATGGCATCTCACCTCAGATGGTCGGTGTTGTCAATCTTGTCTGCTTGGTTGATGGCTGCTGTCGTCCCTTGCCCTATCCAATCTTGTCTGCTGTCTTTGAGTTCTTTGCGCCTGAGAGGCTGGGGGGGATAGAGCGGGCACAGGCCACTGTAATAACCCGCCATAACACAGACTGAGAACACTGCTGATTTCTGAAGTTCTGCCGATGGAATGGATGCATCGCTGAGATTCCTGCATTCTGCTGAGTTTTCTAAGTCTGTATGTGTGCGTGCTTGTTGACCTGCGTGCCTGTCTGAATGCTTGTCGGTATGAGTGTGTGTGTGACCCGCAAGGGTACTTGCTTGTTTGGCAGGCCCGTAGGGCCGGTACTTGCCTGTGGCCGTGGCATTGAGGGTTGCAGCAGGGAAAACACTCAAGTAGCGGAGCCAGGGGCCCGCGGTGCTTAGAGCAGCGGAAAAACACTCAAGTAGCAGGTAGGCCGGTACCGCACCCAGTAGCCGTAGATGTGCCGGGTACTCGAGGCCGAGCAGAAGAAGACAAAGTGGCATTTTTAGAGGCCCGGTAGCGGTAGGCTACCGGCTTCCCCCGAATACAACGTACGGTCATTATAGCTGTATGTAGACTGAAAGATACCCCCAATACAGCTATAATGACCATACGTTGTATTCGGGGGAAGAAGGTAGGTCTAGGCCGGTACCAGTCCATCCAGTCTGAGTCTAGAGCCTGTACGGGCACTATCAGAGTCTGCAATGATGTTTCCCTCCGAAAGGGAGGAGGTACCGGTTGCTTGGGAGGCCGAGCGGCCTGGAAGTCACCACCCAGGAGGCAAGCAGGCCACTATATCAAGAGGCCGAGGGGTGGCCATGGCTATGGTGGACCTCATGTTGTGCCTGCAATAGAAGTGGGATTCGGACATTGATTCTGGTTCACCCATTCAACATTATTATTGTTATTTCTTGTTTGAATAAGATGAAACAGTTTTCACCTTTGGCAGTAGCCGATGCAGATCCCAGGGGTCGATCCCTTGACCTCAGCTTACCTGTGTACAGTATCTGTACAGTTCCCTGGAGTTGAACCCGTGACCTGCACGATAGCCAGTGGTAAGTAGGTCACCGTAGGTTGTAGGCTGTAGGAAGATTCGAACTGTAGACCTGTAGGGTAGGAGTCCAAGTAGAGTC